ATATATATATATATATATAAGGTCCCCCTGCTGTCCTGCGGTATTTCCCCACCCTGTAGTACCAAAGTTCGACCCACGGGGGGCGCTCGACTGTGGAGCAGAAGCCGGAAGTGGCGCACGCAGCTTTGTGAACGACGGCCGATGGAGACATTTTAAAATAAACACACAGCTAGCGGCTAGCTGCTAACAGGGCTCGGTAAAGGTGCGAGCACACTGCGCCAACAACACGTTCAAATTCTTCTTTTTCTAACTTGTAAAGAAGTAAAGTGAATCCACCAGTGCATTATTGATGCATCGCAAATCAAAGAGGCTACAAATTACCGAAGATGTCGAAAAGTCTGTCGCTGGGAAAAGCAGAATATAAGTAACGCCGCGGTAAGTTGTAACGAGCGCCGCCGATTTTTAAATGCTAACTTGGCTATCGCCTTCACTGAGATACGGTTAGCTGTTAGCTGCTGACATTACCCCGCTTGTTACGCCTCTGGGTGCCTCGATGCTGCTTCCATTTATGGGATCTTGCAAGCCAGCTGTCGTGCAACCTGAACATTTCTCCGTGCCTTGTCTTCTCGTCGCCAGGTTTACGGAGTGCGAGGTTACGACCGAGGTTAGCTTCACTACGCAGCTAAAACAAGTGTCCGGATCCGAGCCTGCGTTAGCTTCATGTAGCCACAGGCACAACTCACTAAAAGTCTTTATTTCCAGCAGCGAAAAAGATCTCATAAAGCACACGCTTACTTTAATGTGATAGAGGAGGCTTGGCAGGCTTGGATTTAAATCTTTCTCAGGCTGTATGAGACGTAAAAGTGGATTTAAAATCAAAGTTAAAAGTAAGGTTCATTGCTCTTGCAACCTAGCCATCGTTAATTGCTCACCACCAATGTCGGTGGTGGGAATTGTTGGCCAGATTCTTGCACGCAGTTAAATTAGGTTATTTGTAGTGTTTGATATGTGGGCAGTTAGTAGTTATGCAACACGTTAGCTCAGTTAAAATGGTTAAAGTAAGCTTCAAATCAGTGTTTTTGTGCTAGTTTAGAAAGGAGGAAAAAAAAAAATAGCGTGAATATGCCACCGGTGTTTCCCAATACTGTTGAACTGGAGATATTGCCCAATGAGAAACTGAATTGGATGTACAGGTGTTGTATTTGATGCCAGATTATTGATTTATTATTTGTAGTAATGTATTCCCTCACATCTGGGATGCAGAGATTTAGTGGTAGCACAGTTTCTCATTGCAGTGGAAAGTTTGCCTTGTGAAGAAAAATGCTCATTTAGTTATGTGTGTTTGTTCCAGCAGGTGAGCTCCTGTCCAGGCACATTGGTCCATGGTTGTTGGACCTTTGGGCGCTGGGCTCAACTAGCATGAAGATGGCTGATTCAGAGAAGGCAGAGGAATTTGTGGATGCTGAGTGCCCCTTAGAGTGCCTTGATGAAGCACAATCAGCCACGACTTCTGTCCAGGGAGAGCAGGATGAGCATCTGAAGACAGAGACCACCACCACCACCAGTACCAGTTCACCCCCAAGGGAAAAGGAGGGAGACAGCCCCTTGAACACAGAGGGTGAGCAGAGTCTCCTCTCCATGCCATGCCTGATGAAGGAGCTCCGCAGAGACTCCCCGGAGTCCCAGCATGCCTCCACGGGGAGTGACAAGCCTGCATCTCGTCATATCTATGAGAGTGACTCCTCAAACCCCTGCATGCTCTCCCCTTCATCCAGCGGCCACCTCGCTGACTCAGACACACTCTCCTCAGGGGAAGATGGTGCTGCTCCTCGAGTAGGAGAAGAGGAAGAGGGCAGCATGGAAGCTACAAATGATCCTGGGCAGGCAACAGGGAGGCAAACGTCTGCCACGGCTGCGGGGGGAAGGAAGTCTCGGCGGTCACGTTCGGAGAGCGAGATGCCTCCTAATGCGATGGCTGCGAAGAAAAACCGCTGCCAGGCCACGATGGTAGCAGCAGGAGGGCAGGAGAAACAAACCAATGGCAAGATGGCAAAAGTGAAAGGCCACCGGAGCCAGAAACACAAGGAGCGCATGCGTTTGCTGAGGCAAAAACGAGAAGCAGCAGCACGGAAGAAGTATAACCTGCTGCAGGACAGCAGTACGAGTGACAGCGAGCTCACGTGCGACTCCAGCACCAGTTCCTCTGAGGACGACGACGACGACACTTCAGGAGGTAGCAAGACAATCAAGACAGATATTTCAGGTAACATCCGATGTTCACTACACATGCTTATAACACAATACTACTACCACTGTCCAGGGTAGCAGCCACACCAGATATTCTATGTAAAACACTATCACATAGTAATATAAAAAAATACAGGCCTACAGTGTATGATCAATCCGATTATTCATATAAGCTGTCAAAGTAAAAAACAAAGTTTTACAATAAAGGCTGCCTGCATGACTTTAAATTTTCAGGCAACCCGTATCAAATATTTAACTTTCCACATATTGTAAGAACATGTAACAGCATTTTCAATATCAGATCAGTATAAGCTCTGCTTTGTTTGTGTTTATCAATCACTTTCTTTCTTTTTTTGGGGGTTGTTTTCTCACTCATCATTTGTCTTCATTCACCATGTCTTTAGATACGTGGACTGTGTGTCTAGAAGGGCCTATGCCCAGTCACTTGTAGTCGTACAGTATATGTTTTGTTGGAACTTTGTCTCATCGTTTGCATGCTGTGGAAGTCTAGTGGACATTCTTCAATTCATTGAATGATATAAACGGAGTTGTGTTAATCTAACCTATAATGTGAGTTCTGCAATTCAACACGTGAGCCATTTATATCTTCAGCCTTTGCTGTAAATAGACAATGATGTATGATCTCACTGTCCTAGTCTGAGTTACAAAGCTCAATTAGAATATCCTGATGTTCTGTCTCTGCCCGTGGCTCTTATTATTCCTTAGGTTTATCATACACGAGTCCATGAAGGTTTTTAGAATTGCAAACAGGTGGTTGTTTGTTTTTTTTTGTTTTTATTGGATTCTGTAGCACCTTTTTAATGGGTCAGATAGCTCTTGTTTCAGACTAGAAAAAAATATTGCATATCTGTAAGGATGGCTGTATACTGTAAACTAGACACAGAAGTGTCTAATAAGAATAACCACTGACAGTATTGTCAGCAAATTGGCCCTATGTTTGTTCCCTAAGTTAGTCGAATGTTTCCTCGTGATTGTAGAAATCTCTTGGGTGATTTACGTTCTACATAAGTAGCTTCTAGCAGGTGGGTATTTACAGGCCCACTGCCTGCTGCTGTGTTTACTTTAGGCTGGTCTTTTCTCAGTGATTGCATTTCTTAGAATATTTTGGGTTGGTTCTGTTAGGCAGTTTTTCTTTTCCATGAGATTCAGAATTTAGCTTGTTGTACGTCAAGGTCTTTGTTTAATAAATAATATTTTAATGTGCTTCTAGGGTTTTGTTCCAAGAGCACTATAGAGACATTATATTTTGGCTGATACTAACCCTACTGCATATTTTACAAAGATTATTGAATTTTTAGCAGAAAATATAGTTAGACATATCTGTTGCCCTTCATCATAGATTTGTAATGACTTTGCCTCAAATGGGTCTCTCCGGTTAACACATTTTCCAAACCACAGTCACTGAATCAGTCGTCTGAGATATCCAGTTACCTTACATCAGGGGTCCGTACTACATAAAATGTTTTCAACCATTTTTACATCCTGCACACAGATTTGAGTGCTACAACTGCATGATGTAGTCCATCAGCATGAAAGAGTCGATCTGCACGTAACCAAAAACAAACTCATTTTCTCTTTAATACAAAAGTCCACCTCCGAAGCATGAAAGTGCTACTGTATTTTCTTATGGCTTGGCCTCAATGTCTTTAAAGCTGGCTTCAGACGTGCATCGGAGAGATCCAGAGTGGGCGCCCAGATTCATGGGCTGCTGGACAGCGGCACGTGGGACAGGAACGGCATCGGCAGCGTTCTGGAGGAGGCCATGACGCGCTTTGCTGTGATGCAGCGCCAGACTGAGGAGCGCTTCCGCATCTGGATGGAAAAGCTTGCACACCTCGACTCGGACAACGACTCGTCCAAACGCTCAAGTGATGCCCTAGAGGGGCAGCATCCCTCCCAGGGGGCACGCCCGTCCCCACCCAGTTCCTATTTGCCATCGTCAGAGTCTGCGGAGACTATGGCTGCCTACATGTTGGCACGAGAGAACAACAGTCTCACCCCCACCCCTATAAACAACAACATCCTACCTGAAGTGGTCACTCAGAATGGAAATCTAGGTGTTCCAGACCCTGGTCTCTTGAATGTTTAGATTACACTTCTGCTTCACTCCTCGCTGTTTCATAATTTGATCTTACCAAGTGTAGAACTAGTTGATGCAGAAAGCATGGCAATGGGTATTAATAGGTAAATGATGTGAGGTCACTAAACAGATACATCATCATCATCAACAGCAGCCGGGCCTGAGCTGGTCACTTGGACTCGACTCTGTGCAGACCTGAGGCCCGGTGCTCCGCTGGCACTGAATCACTGTGAGATTTGACATTCTGAATAATTCAACTCACCTGTTTGATTTCTGCAGTATTTGTGACACGGACATGGGGCACATCTCAATATACTGTTGAGTCAGGGCTCTTATTATATTGCTTAATGTATGGCTTGTTTATTTTTGTTGACCAGCTGTACACACACACTTATATACACACACACGGAGAGTAGCTGATTGTCATTCATCTATTCATTACAGCACCTGGGCAGCCATCATGACAGTGCTAGGTGGGGTGCTGTTGCTTAATAGCATGTGCCTTGTTAATCTGACTTCATGCTGGGAACGATAGATAGAGCATCATAGTACTATTAATTTAGAAATTAGGTTCAACGCTCAACATTATCCTTCTTTCTCCTGAACTTTTTGCACTAAGCTTGTAAACGGTTCAGGATTTTCTTTTAAAAATCTTGTGGCAACCTTTATTTTGGTGGCATAGCTTTACTAACATCAAAACATTTAAACACAGATTTGCCTATAAATATAAACAACATGTACTAACCCACACACTTTCTTGCGTTTTAAAATCCTATTATGTAATTAGATTAGATGTGTTTACAATTTTCTATTTTATTTTTTATGTTTGCCTTTCTGTTACATTTGCTGCTATTGCTGCCTTTGTGCGGTAACAAGAAACTAGTGAGGGAGGAATGACTCCCAATGCTTATTTTTAGTAGCCTATGTATAGATTATGGACATCAGATAAGGCATGGGTTTCTCTGTTAGCTATGTTACTAGCTGCAATGTCAAGAGCCTCAAATCTTCACTCATATAATATTCGCCTAGTTAATCTTTTATTTGCACTGGTCTGCCAGCTTGGCCTGTGTCTCCACAAGGCACTGTGTGTGTGTGTGTTCCGCAGCTTGACTTTAAACTGAAAACCCAGGCATCAAACTAACAAATATACAGCAGTAATAACGCTGCAGTATGGTGCATGGCAATGTTTACCGATTTCCTAAAAACTGACTGATCTAAGTGATCAAGTGGCCTTCTCTGGTTCAGATCCTGTGGTCTTTTGAGGTGGAAATGCTCCTCCTCAAACTACTTTTACTGATGTAGATGACCATAGTGTCACAGTTCTTAACACTGCTAACACCATCTAACCATCACAGACATTGATGAAGTAATCTTTGGCCTAATCATATTTATAGTTAGGATGTTTAAAAAAAAAAAAAAAGAAGTTACATTTTCTGTATGTGTATATGTAGCCCTATGACTGTCAGTTTTACAAAACTGAAAGCTGGAAGCATCATTTCCCCACCTGTTTGCATGTGTTTATATTAGTATATAGAATGTGCAAGGCCAAATTAGTTCTCATCAGCAGCATGTGTGCAAGGTGTAGCTTTGCTTATGCTGATAAATGGTGACTGACGGAACATTTTATCTATTTAGTTGTTTTCTCTTGGCCTAATGGTTTCGTTTCAAATTGTGTGAATATTGGTGTTTTTGTTTCATGGTGCATAATTACTTTGGGTTTAAATGGATCCAACAACTGCTGTCCTGCATTTGTCAAAACTGAAATTACCTTTAAATCAACTATTTTGGCAACACGGTAAAGGGAGCCTGGTGCACACAATCCCAAACTGTGTGCATTAGAAACAACACTAAGGACAGTCCATTGTTTACCAAAGAGACTATCCTGGTTTACATTAGTACTTTTTCTATCTTTAATACATGGCCTTTACATTGGCAAGTCCTCGGTTTCTCTGGTAACCCTGGTACCTGCCTATTTCAGCCTAATCAGCTATTCATAGGCAGTGTTCTCTCATAGTACATGCTGTCCAGACGAACCCCTTCACACACACCCACAGACTTCTCTGGATAGCAGCGTCTGTGTGTCTCTCCCAGGGACTCCTTTTACAGGGTAGAACAAAGATACATGTTCCCGCTCTTCCACAGTTATTCTTCTGTTGTTTGGCTTTTATTATCCCACTACATTTCATTCACTGAGTAAGATCATTTTGAAGTGTTTTGTAATGACTGTATTCTAGTGTAGTTTTTATGTGAATGGCTGTTATTTTAAAAGCAATAAATGGAGAGAAAAAAAAAAACAACTGCTGCAAAAGGTTTATTAATACACTGCAAACACAACCACTCTTACAGCATAAATGCCTCACTAGTGTAGCTATAAAAAGTGACGAGAAGCTGGAAGGTTTCTGTAATTGTTCATGATTTACAGCAGAACTAGCGCTATCAAATGGAACGAGCCCGACATGTTTTACTTCACTATTGGTGTAAACCTTTGCATCTGGGGAAAACAGGGCGTGTTTCCTTGTGTATATTGTAGATGCTGCAGTTAGCAGGACTATGGGTGCAGTGTCCAACCTCTGTTCCAAACAGTCCTACTATTCCCAGGCATGATTTGAATAATGAAGTGTTTTCTTTGTTTTCTGCAGACGGGCCTCCGGTAGTGGGTCACTATGATATTTCAGACACTGATTCTAACCAGGAGAGTATGAGTGTGGAGACAGTCCGGCCCACGGTGATAAAGCATGAGCTAAAAACACACAGAGGCCAGGATATGGCAGCTCACTCTGGGTGTATAAGAGCTCTGAGCTCTATCTCAGGTCAGTTACAAACCCGGTAAATCCAAACTGATACTTTCCACTCCTCTCAGTGAAGACAGGACATTTAGAGGCATGGGTGTCATCAGTAAGCAACGTGCTAGGTTGGGAAAACGGTCTTATTGATCTCAGCAAGACGCCTTTGAAGTGCTACTGCCTTCATCCCACACACCACTGGCTTGCATTTGGTGCTGTAGAAAAAGTCTTTCCGCTTTGCTTGAAGAAGAAAATAATTGACCTTTTTATGATTGACTTGCCGGCATTGTCAAAACATGAATATAAAGTCCACAATTTGTGTTTTGTCCAATGTGTCAGTCCCTGCTATCCAGTCAGCCTTTCAAACCCAAGTGTCAGAGTCATCATTGTTTTGTTCTTGTCTGTGTCAAAGCAGCTGCAGTCTTTATGTGTCAGCAAGGCCTGAAGCTCTCTACTGCTCTGGTCCTCCTCACAATGTATGACTCTGTTCCTCTTATTTGTTTCAGGCCAAGTGGAGGCAGAGCTGTCGCACAAGGGAAGTTCTCAACACAACAAGGGCCAGATTAACATTGCTTCCTCTGACAGTGAGGTGGAAATAGTGGGAGTGCAAGAGAAAGCACGGTAAAGACTTAATACTGACTGACAGAAACCCCTCCCTCCCACCCTCCCTAGTTTTACAAATGAATTCAACTTTTAAAATGTCTTTGTGTCTAAATCCAGATGCGCCCATCCATGCGGAGGGGTGATAAAGAGTCTGTCCTCGTGGAAGGAGAACTCAGTGGAGCAGTTAAACAGCACAAATCAACCACAGCTCTGGACTACTGTTTCTCCTCAGCCCAACTGGGTGTCCCCTCCTGAAGTGGTGGACCTCACACTGGACGAGGACGCCGGACACAAATACCTACTTTAAACAACTTGTACACTGAAGACTCCTTATTTCTTCCTCTCACTCCTCCTCATCCCTCTTGCCTTGCCTCCATGTTACGGCTGAAATCCTTCCTATATTTGCGGCCTCACCTGTAACCGCTCGTGGACTCTTCCTGCTCCAGGGCACTGTTTGTTTTTAACTTACTGTTAAACAATCATATGTATCAAAGCCATTCTACTGACGTGATTCCCTGATCTTGGCTTGTCAGCTCTGAGTTTAGTTGTAATAAAATGGCACAGCACTTCAAGGGCAGGTGGAAATGTATGTAAGTGAATTATCTTTTAATGATAGCAATATCTTACCTTCATTTAATACCTCAGTTACCCCTTGATACCGGATGTAGGTAGTCATTTTGTGTTGTGTGCTTGCAAGCTGTATAGTGAAAACGTCAAGTTGCTGCTTGAGAGCAGGTCGGTATCACGACATGGCTATTGACCTGCTTCACTACAGACTCTGAACGGCATATTTTTAGACTTGATTTCGCATTTGTTACCTGCGCTCAAAACAAAAACGGCAGCTGGTACGCTTTCTCTTGTATAATAGACCATAGATTGATAGCAAAGTTTGCTCTGTACCTGTTTAATGTCACTTTTGTTTTTGAAAGTCTCACCACTGGTTTTATTGAGTTCAGTCTGCATTGATCGCTTTGCTTTACTCTGTCCAGTGTAGGTACAGCCTATGCTGTTCTATCGGGGAGGGTTTTTGGTTTATCTTAAAGGGATAGTTCGACATTTTGGGAAATTTGCTTATTTGCTTTTTTGTCAAGAGTTAGACCAGAAACTTGACCTTTCATATATGTCTCTTACATATAAGGCTATAGCCAGCCAGAGGGACTAGTCCGGTTTAGTCCAGAAGTCCCAAAATCCACCTACCACCACCTCTTAGGCTCACTAATTAACACGTTATATATCTTGTTTGTTTAATCCATGCAAAAACCTAATTTTAAAAATAACAATTGACTGTTTTTTGGCTATTTATTGGCCAGAAATACTAACTTTACAGAGCCTCCACTGGTTGCCTGGCAACTGCTCAGAGCCAAGAAAGAGTTGAACAGAGTGAAGCTAGCGGTTCCCAACTCCAGTCTTTGTGCTAAGCTAACCCATTGCTAGCTGTAGCTTTATATTTACTGGATATACATGAGAGCTTCTAATCTAGCGTTAACTTTGCCAGAAAACAAATAAGCATATTTCTCAAAATGTCTTGATTTAAATTCACAGCTTTTGTTTCTGTCGCTACCGTATTACAACAAATCTTTTCTTTTCTTTTTTTAAACACAAAACCAACGTTTAAACTCAAACTCTGACGAAAATATACAAATACACTTGTTACAAACACACTACAAGATACAACTCATTTCCACTACAGCATTACTGTATGTAGTCGTGCTGGGTGTTGGTAATAGAAATTGTGTATCTTTTGTGCTGAGATACATTTTATGTTGGAAGCCACAGAGTCTGCAAGTGTCCCAGGTGACTCGGGCCCTGTTTCCACCTGGCATTAACCTGCGTCTTGGCTGATCCGATCACAAGTGGACAGCTCTAAGTACATCAGTTCACACCTTGCAATAGCATACGTCTCCACACGGGGCGCCCTGATTATTCACCTGTTAGAGCATGTACCTCATATAAGGCTTTGTCATTATCACGGTGGCCTGGGTTTGATTCCAGCCTGTGGCTCTTTGCTGCATGTCATCCTCTCTCTCTCTCTCTCTCCCCTCTTTCCTGTCTACCTTCAGCTGTCTCTATAAAATAAAGGCTTAAAAAGCCCCAAAAAATAATTATTAAAAAAATGAATGCTTCTCAAGTGACCATATATCAGCAGATCTCACTTCCCTGCTCAGTATGCAAACGTACATCATTTCCTGCTGCATTAAGTATCATCCAGTCAACGTGCGGACTCTGTGGGCCCAATGGAAATCAGACAATGCTTTGTGTGTACTCCATCCACATGAATCAATTTTAGCTGCTGTGGCTTCTTGCTTCTCACTTTAATATAACACTGTTGGTGCATGAATGAGTACACACTCACACAGAGGACGTCAGGATGTTGAGTAGCGGTCCTTCAGTGTGGTCTGGGACATATTCATGTCCACACTGGTGAAAAATTGAGTCTTGGTACACCTGTACGTGTAGCTGGCCACTTGTGATTGGATCACCCCAGACGCATGTTAATACCGGGTGTAAACAGGGCCATAGTTCTCAGTGAATGTATGACCCTGCAGTGCTGACTGGGTGCACTTACTGTTTGCATGCTTATCCGGAATGAATGCAAACACCTTTAATCCTCTGGGGACCCCTTTATAACAACTGAGGAAATGTATTTTCCATTGAATACTGCAAAGCAAAATGGCCTGAATGCCTTGAAATGTGCACTATTTTCTTTTAGAATCATATAAAGCTTATTCTTTTACCTTACAAAGCAGTGGATTTTGCTATCTCAACAACAAATATTTTAATAATAGATGTAAATTTAGCACACATATAAAAGTAAAAGTGGTGTTTGTGCCCACATGTGGGGTGTTTATAGAAGAGACTTTTACTGTATGAACTGTTTTTACCCTGATCCTCAGGGCCTGCTTGCTCTCTTCCCCTGTGGTCTTATTTTTGTCTTCATGCAGTACTGCAGCCACGCAGGTAGTTTCTTTTTATCAATGATCCAACTTGACACACTGTTTTAACACTTAAGATTTGTTTTATTGCTTATTGAGTAACACCTACTTTTCTAAGTGATGCTTGAGAATTGTAGAATCAAATAATTTGACTTCTGCTGGTCACAGAAGGGAAGGGAAAATCCTAAATATAAGGAACTAAACCAAAGTCTAAGGAAATTTATGTATTTAGTTTGTTTTCTTTCCCGACTTGAAATTCTGCTCCCAGTCTGTTCTTTGAAATTTGCTTTGTAAGTATAAAGTCGTGCATATTGATGTGAAATGAGGTGACACAAATTCTGTTTCAAACTGAAGATACAGTGTAGTATAATGTGATTATTTTTGATTTCCTTTGGCCAGTTCTTTCCACAACATGCAGCCACCTCTGTAATGACAATTCTTTTACCAGACCACTTCTGCTTGCAAAATCCATTTTGCTATTGTTCCTTAACATTATTATGAAATGTTAGTAAGACTCATGTCTTTAGTGATAGAGGTTTGGTAGAAAATTAGGGCAGTGATGCTCGACTATGGTTGCACATGGCATGTTTGGTCAAATCTTTAACCTCAAGTCAGATATTATCCTCATTACCAGTAATTTAGCCTTGCTCTTCTGTTATTTTTGTTTTATTTTACTGTCAGTATTTTAAATTAACAAAAAAAGGTGTTTATTTTGTTGCTTCTGCAAGTCCTTGACTTCCTTGAAATTATGTCTGTAGAACAAAAAGAAACTATTTTAAAACTAAATAAATAGAGCGTTATTTAATGACCCTCTTGTACTGTAATTTATTTTCTTGTCCCTAGAAAACAGTGGTTCATTTTAGAGGCAGGCTGTGTAGTCTTTGCTCATGTGCTGTGACTGTTAGGCTGTCTGGTGCCAAGCTTGGGCATGAAAAATTGAACTGGTGAGGATTTATCTTTGTCTGATTGAGTGTCTACGTGGCTGTCAAAAGTAGTTTAATTGGGACTGAAGTCTGTGAACTGAAGACAATGACATCTGTTGCATGATTTTCATCCTTTCAGACTAATGTTACTGAAATTCTTCTTTTAAAGTTCATCCTATAATTTAAATATAATGTTAGTTGGTTGATAAATGTATCTGAAGCCTATCAAAAAGGTTTCTTGCGTGTACAAGTGAGAATAATTACCATCATAGGTACAATAGTTCTTAATGAGACGTCTCATTGTTTTTTTATCCTGCGGTCTAGACAACTGCCTCACTGTGAACAATACAACTTCACCCTCACCCACAGAAGTGGCATGACGGGTCAGAGGTCACACTGTGACACCTGCCGCTAGGGGGACATATGGAGTTCACATGAGGAGGACAATGAGGGAGTGGAGCAATTCAGTCTGCGGGGCCCTTCTCCTAAAACCAAAGCCCTTTAGCCAGCTCTTTTCACCCTCGGGGCAGAACATCAGCTGTATGCAAATTCTTTTTTACAGGGCAGTGGTGGCCTCAGAGCAGTGAGTGTCCTGGCTCACTCTCAAAAGCCAGAAATAAGCATCCTTCCTCCTGCAGATGTCTTTTTAGTGTTGAATGATGCAGTTTTTAGATTCTGTATCATACAAGTGCTGTTCCAGGTTTATTCAGAATGACCACTAAGGACTCTAGACCAACAAAAATAATGCATGTTACTACTTCTAATTGCCAGTGAAAACAACATATATACAATTTAAGCTGTTTCCAACTGCCTATCTTGAATGAACTAATTATTACTTTTGTCAAACAAAGATATAGTTGTCTGGTACAAGTTTATGGAATGAGAGGATTTACTACTTTATTACTCTTTGTAAACTACATATCTTTGGGGTTTTGGACATTTAGTGGAACAAAAGACATTTGAGGACATCGCTTTGGGCTCTGGGTAGTTGTGCTGGGCATTTTTTCACAACTTTTTTTGCATTTCACAGACTAAACAATAAATTGGAAAAGTAATCCACTATAAAAATAACTGTTAGGCACACTGTAAGGCAATGTGACATTTGAACGTAAGGGGAGAAAGGAAATTCTTTTTTCCAAAAAAACAGTAGCTACTGATTTAATATTATGAATTATACAAGTTTTGTAGTATATGCTGAAAGTTTGTCAGTATCAAATATCAAAGGTCTGTTATTTGTGAATAAAGGGAACTGATTGCAGTTAGTTTGACTTGCACTGATAGTAAAGCACTGAAAAGCTCTTTGTGTGGCACCGCAGGCTTAAAGCATTAGATGGTGGGAACTGGAAGACGAGGACATATGGGACTAAGAGTTTTGTGACCCCCTCAGCCTCCCCATGGCCATCTGTTCCTCCACCCTTCAGGCTTAACACTAAAGGCAGAGAGGTTTTCAGGACACAGATTTCACCATATCTGCTGTACAGGAAATTGGTTCAACATAGGGAGAAGTTGCTTTTCAAAGGAAATATGATGAGAGTTAAATATAACCTAATGATCTCTAGCAGATTATTCAGCTGCGTTTGCCCAGCGGCTTTGTTTGTTGGTTACTGGTCCGGTACAATTGTTCACTGAGTCCCAAAGAAGAATAAGAATAAACTATAAGTGATTTAATCTCATGTGTTTTCTTGACCTTAAAAAACGTAAAGATTCCTACAGACATGTAGTCTTTAGGTGTGTTGTATTCAGACTGAAAAAGGGGTGTCAGATGTTTGGTGTCAAACTTAAGGAAAGGGAATTAAATTGGTGAGGATTCAAAACACAAACTGTGGTGAATGAAGTACTCAGATTTTTAACTTAAAGGGGAAATACTGCATATGTGAAAAAAAGTTATATAAAGCCTTTTGTGGCTCTAGAGGAAGCTGCGGAAAATCTGATAAATTGCCTCAGGTGATGTCACTTGAGTCAACGTTTGAAACCGAAGACTACAAGTTTGAAACAGAAAGAAAAGTGAGTTTACCAGACCTCTGCAGCTCCCTTCTCCTTGAGACTAAAGGCTCGTGGCTACATTATCTGCTACTAGCGTAACACAGCCGAAATTCCAACCGAACTTTTACCGTTTGAGTTGCATTGTGGTTAATGTAGGTTTCAGGTTTTGACAAAGTATATAAAAAAAAGCACTGTTTTTTTATCCTTTTTAAAAAAACAACAAAAAAAGAAGTTCCACGGTGAGTTCAGTGGGGTTATAGTAGTAAATACTAAGCATAATAATAAGCAGAAATACCATAAAACACTGTTATAAGTACAAGTTCCCCATTAAAAATCCCACTTAACTTAATGTACAGAACTATTACCAGCAAAATGTACTTGAAGTAAGGAAAGTAAAAGCAGTCATTATGCAGAATCAGCCCTTTTATTCAATATATTACATTAGTTGATTGGTACTGATTGTTTTTACACTCGTGATCCACTCCTGTTTCCACTTTTGTCTGAATATAACTTTTCTCAGGTCAGTGTGGCCACGGAAAGACACCTTATTTGTATCTCGTTTAACGTTTTTTGCGGGACAAACTGGTTTTATCACACACAATGATTGAAAAATTGAGGTATAAAGACATAAATTGGAGTACCAGTGCCTCAAAATTATAATAAAGTACAGTAATTGAGTAAATCTGCTTAGTTCCTATTAAATCATAGTTTCACCTTATTGTTGCTGGATCATGTGTCCCAGCTAGAACTCCACATTGAAAAACAGGTCCCTATTTCTGACGTTTACATACCAATGCTAAATATGAGATTGATGACCTTGAAGTAGGAAACATTGAATGTATCCAGCAGAGACTTTAGAAATGAACAAAATGTGCATTTTTTTTTTATATTTAATGAAGTGGATGTCTTTTTAAGGATTTTAATGTGAAAAAAAACATATCAGACACACATTATTGTTCCAAGCATACTGTTTGTATGAGTTGTAAAACAGTTGCGGATGTGGCATTAATGAATGTAGTCCAAAGGTAGAGCACAGTAGTTCCTTCTGAACCGTACTGGATTGGAAGTTGCTGAATACCACAAAACTTCAAACAAAAGCAACACAAAGCAAAGCAAACAAAAGTCCTAATTAGACCCAGGTTCCCCTTACTAGCCTGGTGTGGCTACATGTTTGTGAACGGCCTGGTCTGGATTTTATAGAAGTTCTTTGGTGGTATAAAATATCGTAAACTTATCCACTTGAGCTCATATTAATGATTCCTAATTGATCTGTTATAGTAATATATTCATACTAGTTCAAATTGGCTAGTATGTCCCATCTTTGTTGAGCAAAACTTTCGTGCAAAAGGAATTAAAGGCATAAAGAGGTTGAGTTCAGTGAAGCAAATAAAAGTTTTATGGTAGTCTGATAACTGGGTAAACAAATTTAATTATGCTTATAAGCAGACCTATATTTTTAGTAGTATACATGTCAAATCCTAAATAAACAGTAAATAAGGCTGGGGATGAAATGCAACCAGATGAGGGCTCATGTCTATTTGAAGCCCCCCTCCACCCCCAGATAAGAAACCAGCACCACCTTATACCAGTACCTTATCTGGGCTGGTGGATTCATACGGCGGCGGAGGGGGCGGGCTGTCCAGTACACAGACATCCCCGCCCCGGCGCTCATCCCATTGGTGGAGGAGGGTGCCAAAGCCGGAGGGTCCTGATCAGAGGGGTCCAGTGATTGGCTGCTCGGGTCCGTGTGTGCAGGCAGCGCAGCCTGTCTGTTTGAATGTGCTGGGAACTGGAGGGGGGAATCATTTCCATGGACCATCTGTCTCACTGGCTGCCCACACAACAAAGAAGGACCCAGGATGGTGTTAGTACATGTTGGATATCTGGTTCTCCCCGTCTTCGGCTCAGTTAGAAATAGAGGTATGACTAGCTCTATATTTTTTTCTTTTATACCCCTAACCCTAACAAATTTCTCGGCATTCCCTCTTTCTTTCTTTTTTTTATTTTATTTTTTTATTTATTTACAAAAAAAAAATCCTCAAATGATGTAAACAGAGCGGACACCTGCTAGCAAAAATAAATAAAAAAATAAAATTAAAATAAAAAACCGCACAATCAGCCTAGCGGAGATAACGTTAGCCGTCCTGCTAGCCGTAGCGTCGCGTGGATTTTAGCCGAATTAACCGTTGAAACGTTGTCATAGTGACGGGAATATATTTAATCTCGTAACGACCGTTGGTGTTAACGTTAGCCGTTGGTGTTAACGTTAGGTTGTTTCAGGCCCCCGTTAACCGCAAAAAAACAAAATGACTGCAGCTGTCAAATGGCAACCCTCGCTTTTCTTTTATCCTCAGCTGTGCCTCAGCGGCTAGCGCTTTAATATATGTCACTGCGCGCTGTTTATAAGACAAAAACAACAATGGTGTGCAGTCGCCGCTAGTTTAACGTTACCGAATTCACAGCCGTAGCTTCACACGGCCACATTAGCTCCGCTTTAGCTCACAATGTCCACATCTCTGTTTCTGAATTTGTCATTGATTTGGCCAAAAACAGGCAGCTGTGTCTGAATCGACTAGCGATAACGCGACATGGGATGTTTGCCCCTTTGTGCGCAACTGACATGGAGTCTGTTGATGTCCTCCTGATATCCATGAGTTAATGCCAATTAAAGGTTCTTCCATTAAAGACAGGTAGCGTAATGGCCGTGCCTCAGATAAGGGGCTATGGCTGGCTATTGTAAATGGGATATAAAATGGTGGCATTTTTTTTGCCCTAAACCTTTAAAAAAATAAAAAAAAATAAAAAAAATCTTTGTCCGATGGTGAAAATGAATCGTGGAAAATTGCGCTGGCAGTGAAATCTGAAACAGCATATAAACAGGGATTAACCACACTCGCTGAATTGGGCCCCCTTAATAACAATAACAACATCATCCTCCATTGAGTTTTAGGCTATCTGTGTTGATTATGTAAATGAAATAATAGTAGTGGTAATAAATTGACGTGGCATGTGTTAATACTACATGCAGTGCACCAAAATGATTTCATTTGTGCTTTTATTTGTGGTTCTTTTTTTTCCTGTTCGCATAGTATCGAGGCTGGCTTCTACCATTCCGCATTTCTCAAGACCTTTGTCGCCCCTCCAATTGTGTAGCTAACGATCATCTGCTGCTGTCTGCCGTGCTCTGGCCTGTTCTCTGAATCTAGCTGTATTGTGAAACGCCCTTCTTCCTCATTTCCTCCTTTCCAATCCTGAAAGACCGACATTGGCATTAAAACGCGAGTTCAGCACTCATGACGTCATCCTTCTGTGTAACAGACTAAACGAATCAAGACACCTTCTGTAGAAAACCAGTTTGTCTTTATTTAAACTGTCCCCATGTTCTCTTTGCAGTGAATAACCCATTGTAGCTTAGAACCTTTAAGCTAACAGAACTGTGCATTGTGAGTTCTCATTCAGTGTGGAAGACTACATTCCTGCTGTAAAATTTCCTGTAAAGTGGCATCACATTGATTTGATCCTCCACGCCGATTTCGATTATAGCCAGGCTGATCGAACTCTTCTAAAAAAAAAAAAAAAAAGAAAAGGGCGTCTCCATCCCCCCTATTTGCAAAGGTGCATTGTACCAGCTTTTGTCATCAATAAAGCACTTGTATGATCGCCTTCTCCAAAATCAATTTGACCAGTAATTCACCAATTGGCTAATCCTCGTAGCACTAAAATCACAGTAATAAGTGTGATGTTATTCGCCTTTTTAATGGTCCACTGCACCTGTTATAGTGGCGTCCAAACGGCTGGTCATAATCCTATCCATGTGTGAAAGCCTTTGTTCCTGCTAGCTGAATTGATTCAGTCAGTCACAATATAAATTGGCGAGACTCAGGTCTAACTCATCTCGCCATTTAAAAAGTACCACTATCACGCACAGCCCCCTCTCGAGTCCTTCCTCCAGAATGCTATCCATTTTACAGGGATGTGTATATCCTGCACTGCTGTAGAACTCCTTTTAGAATGAAAATGTCTTTTATTCTTTGGTTGTGGTTTTCTACCTTATGTTCTTGTATTAGATCCTAATGCATGGTCATTTTATACTTTTGTTTTTCCACATTGAACAGCAGATTCCAATGTAAACTTTGTGTAGAGATGTCCCTGCTATACTGAAATGTGCTGTAAGCATACACATCTACTCATTGGATGCTGCTTCTGTTCTGTTAACCCTACAGAGAGCATGGTCGGGCCTTGCCTTTGGTCTTTATTTGCATGGTATTATTATGGTTATATAGGACATAATACTCTTATTATTACTATTATCACACAGTGCCACACATACTAATATTTTCCAATAAAGACTGTAGTTTTCTTTCTAACCTTCAGTGTGCTTTTTGCTGATTTCCATGTGTTCCTCCCCTCCTCCCTCCACACTGTGCTGTCACTGAGACGGTCCCCTCACTCTTTATGTGCTCTCATTTCTCAGCTGTCTTTGACAGAGTTTCTTCAACTTGATGCTCTGTTTACTTTGGAGTAGGGGCAAAACAAATCTTCTATCCAT